GGGTTTCAGTAATTCCTCTCGGTTACATTGCCCTTGATCAAGCCCTACCAGGCCTCCCACACCCTCCTCGCCATCAATTTTGGATCTCTTGCTGTTCCCTTGTCCCTGGGTTTGTTAACACCACTTCCTTTCCTCCCTCTCCCCCTCTCACATTGGTCTCCCTGTTTTCTCCTCCAGATTGTTTATCCAGCCTATCTGATATAGACAGATACACAGAGATAATAATACGCACAAAAAAACAAGACAGAACAAAACAAAACAATAACAAAAAACCAAGGACAAAAAAGAAAAGCCTGTAAATCGTTCAAGGTCTGTTTGTTGACCTTTAGGAGTGTCTTCCTGTCGGATGGGGTGTCACGCCCTGGGCCCACGGTGTCTTTTTGGTGTTCCCTGGGGACGTCCTTGCTCTGCTGCCCTTGCCGTTCTGTTGCACACCCTAGTGTTTCGCCTCCGTGTGGTGGGGTTTACTTCTTTCTTCTTCTTCTCATTCTCTACTTCATTTACTTTCTTCTTCTAATTCTTCTTTCTCCTTCTTTCTTCTATGTCTACTTCTTCTCATTCTACTTCTTTCTTCTTTTTCTTCTACTTCTACTTTTTCTTTCTTCTATTTTCTTCTTCAATTCTTATTTCTTCTTCTACTCTTTCTTCTTCCGATTTCTCTTCTTATTCTTCTCCTTCTTCTTGTTCTCCCCACCCACCTCCTCCTCCTCCAGGAGGCAAGAGGGAGAGCACCCTGGATCCCACCCGACCATCCACAGAGACGTGCTCGGGGCCGAGTGCTCGTCCCAGGAGTCAGGATGGGTCTTACAGGGCTCTCTGCAGTCCTCCTTCAATATGCCCTCCAGAATTCGGCCCAAATGGACTGTGTCCTGGGCACTTCTTCCCATTAAGCTTGGTTTCCCTTTTCCTGCCCCTACCACATCCCCCTCCTCTGAGCCCACATCTTCCAGCCTGGCCCTCCCCCACCATCCTTTCTCCCCACCCCCATGTCCCCTTCTCTCCCCTCCCCGCTGCCCGGTGCGCTCTCTCCCTCCTGGCCTCCCCTCCAGGCGCTCTGTCTGGTCCTCCGTGGAAGCACTTGGGCTCTCTGACCCTTTGCTCCCTGTGGTCAGCACAGCGTGATGGAGGCCTCGGTGTCCTGCTCATCATCACTCTGCGTTGATAGCACATCCACCTTCTCAGCCACCAAGTGCCAGACCAGACACCGCTGCCACGGTGCTTGATCATGGCGATGCCTGCGCCCACCTGCCCGCAGGGCCGCCGTCGGCAGTGTCTCGGTGCCTGTGCTCAGGCTCGACTATGCCTATTTCTCATCTGCTGGAATCAGGGCTAGCCTGTGGGCGGGGGCGGTGCCACGGTCCACCTCAGAAGGCAGCGTTGCCAGGTCCTCATGGCGGATCTTGTCTGAGGTGGCAGAAGCAGCCGGGACCAAGCCCCGCCGGAACATGTCCGTCTTGGAGTAGAAGGACTTGCTGAGTGATCCCTGCTGAGGGGCCGGGGTCTTCTTCCTCCCCTCCGGGGCACCCTTCCTCCTGCAGGAGAAGAGCAGCATCCCAGAGAGCAGTGGGCGGGGCGGGGCTGCTCTCCGGTAGCCGAGAGGCCACTCCAGAGAGCGCGTCACATGATCTGCTTCCACAGCAGATTGTGGGTCCAAGCAAGACGGAGGCCTGGACAAGTCCAGCTTCTCCCTGTTTCACTA